TGATGTCATACCAGACCTATGTATACCAGTATGCATTACTGATTTACCTCGATACGTTTTACAGATTTCTTCTGGTTCTTCCATTTTAACCTAGTCTGGCCCACTTCTTTATGTACTTTGTTTGACAGAAGCAGTTTACACAAATGTTGCCATTTGTAAGTTGGGCTTGCAACTAATTGTTATTCTCAAAAGCATAATTTAGTGTTTTCCTAAGGGTTTTAAATAAAAAAATCATCACATAATTTGTAGCTTGACTACTATGCTGTTAAACAAGATTCTCATCTTTCCTCATTTTGTAACAGCATACAAAGACTACTAGATTGCCTCTATCATCTGAAGCCATTCCTTTTCTTCATCCACCTCCTAAAGAGTAGTACCAAGTTCTGTTCTCTCTCCCTCCTCCCTCTCATTTTTAACTGCAGAGACAAGAGAACTTCTGCTAAGTATGAAGTAATAAGCCATGGAATACCCTTTGTAGTCTCCGGTATGTGTGGGTATACTGGTTCTGTGGCACGTGAGCACTCGGAAAAATTTTGTTTCAGACTTGCATTTTTCAAATATTTTTCTATCTGGTGGTTAATCTCTACCAGTCCCTAAATGTACTTTTTTTTCTGCTATGAGTAAGAGAAAATTCAATTTTCCATGGTGTATCTGCGGAACCCACTATATATATCTGCATGCGCATACAGCTTAGAGTACACCTAACATTAATGCTTTTAATACCATAGTCCTGATACCTGTCTCTTTAATATTCGGGACTTCATTAAAGTTATTACATGTATTAAATTTTAGTAAGAGTATACTCTGTTTCAATGCTGTGACCATCCAGGCTCTTAAGGTGTATGTCTCTTCTATTATCTGCCTATATTATGGGGTAGTTGAACTTTGTACACAGAGGCCTACCATCCTCCCTTTCGGAGACATCCATGTAAAGTGGTGGAGACCATAACAGCAAATTCCTTCCTTTGCTGAAGACAACAGCCTTCGTTTAGGCTTTTTAGCTCAAAATAAGTTTCCTTTTCCCTTAATTGAATGCTTTTTTACTTGTCTTCCAATCTGAATTATTTAGTTTGAAAATTTACTTCAGCCTTCCATCAGGAATACATTTGGAAAATGAAAAACAGCCATTCCTCCCATTTTTTCTGATAAATTGACCTTCTAACACAACATCTTCTCTGTGCCATCACTGGAACCTCAGGTTTAAAATATTTACTAATTCTTCGTGTGATTTGCTAGCATTAAATCTATAAATCCCCAAATAAAAAAAACCACCAAGCAAACCCATAAAACAAACAAACAAGAAAATACCAAAAAACCTCCCACCACAGAATATGTACTGGCAAATCACATCAGCATTTACATTATTTAAAAAACCACATCTGTATATCTAATTGTGACTTCTAGGCCACACGTCAAAATTAGCACACTTAGGTATCTTTTGGCTTATAGTCTGTATTCCTTGAAGGAAGAAAATTGCACGGACAGGGTAGTCTGTCACTTGTCAAGGGCAGGGAGTAAGCTACTAGGTTCTGAAAGAGATCAGAAAAGTAAAACTACTGGAAAAATATTATTAGGAGAGGAAAGATGTGATCTGGAAAAGTGCTAACCCATCCTCAGTCCCTGCCTAGAATTAAGAAAGAAAAAAGGAATAGAAGGATCTGTAGTTTACTCCAGAACTAAATAATGCAGTATTTATCTCCCTTGTTGGAGCCACAGATAAGATATTTTTATCTCTTCCATTATTCAATCACCTTTGGGGTATCAACTGTCTGTTTTTCTTGTGCTCCTGAACCTTCAATTAAAATCTACTGCCTGAACAAGAAACTCCTGGCACTTGATGACAGCAAAGTAGTCACAATATTTAAGCCAATTGTACAACATGCTATACAGACTATATGTTTAATCCTTGATGGCTACTAACAGTGGAAGAAATGTTCCCAAAAGTCAGGGACAGATACTTTGTTCTAAGAGAAAGGTCTGCTTTATGCAGCCACTGCAAGATAGAAAACATGTCCGCAAGGAGCTGCTGGGGGATGCATTATACCCCAAATTGCTGTATCCAGCATGTAACTTAGAACAACTCCTTGGCTGTTTTGCATTATACTTCCTTATTGCAGTCCCAGAGGACTTGCTAGTCCAGACCACTGTCTTAGAAAACCCAAACAAGAAGAACAGATTTTTTTTCACAAGAGAAGGATTTGCTTGCTAGAGAAACTACTAATTGCATTTCAAGGGTAGGCCAGAAAAGCTTGCAATACACTGGGGAAGGGGGGGGGAGGGAAGAGGAAGTCACCCCTATGCATTTACATCCCGATATGACATATGAATGCTATTTTAAAGTCCAGTGAAACACAGGAGACACACCTTACATTGGTAATACAGGAAACAGAAGATAAAGAAGCAGTATGTTGGACCAATTTGTAGGAAACAGGAATCAAAACATATAGCCTAGAAAAACAGAGTAAAAGAGGATTCTTTCTCTGTTATGCTGTGTGCCCTAAAAATTAATGCAAAGCTCCTCTTTTCAATAAACAGAGAAGCTAAAGCTTCAAGTTTCCATAACAAGACACGGAGACCACAGAAGAAGTTTGAGAGCAACAAGAGTTTAGCAGAAGGTGTGAGTAGAAGGAGTTCTCCACTGCTCACCAGCAGGTGATCTCAAGGCCTCTTTTAACACTCCTTTCTGCCATCTGTTTCTGATTGACTTGTCCAGTCATTCAGGTAGCCTTTGCAGCTCCACCATGGCAATAAAAATGGACTTGAAAGGTATTTCAAGACTCAGCTGGATATTCTCCAAATCCCACAAGCATCAAAAAAAAAAAAAGGAAACTTAAATTCCTCCTGTTACCAGGAATGCATTAAGTAACAAAACCTGGAAGAAGGTATGTTGGCCAGTGTTTACAATTCAGAGCCTTCCTGGATCTACTATCTTGTCTCCACTGATCAACTTCGTGTACTTTTCAATAACATTTTTCCACAAATACAAAATTAACAGAATGGCTGGTAAGAGTAAGACCTTCAGAACTCCTCTTTTCCACTATTCCCTTCACCTCTAATCACACAATTAACTGTTGTCAGAATACTCCTGGTTTGCAACTGACTTCCATTTTTATACAGTTTCACTACCTCTTATCTTGAACATCTTAATGAGATTATTTTTCTGGGTAATTTGTACTGAGTTGGTTCTTTGGAACAGCTGTAAGTGGAATTTGGATTTAGCTTTTTACACTTTCTTCTTAGAGATGAGCTTTTAATTTTAATTTAACCAAAAATATTAAACCTACTGTGTAACCCTATGAAAAAATTCCACTTATTGGTTATCTCTTTCAATGTTTTCATATGAGAAAATTCTGCATACTGGTTATCTCTTTCAGTGTTTTCATAGTGTATTCAATTAAGAGAATGTCTTTCAACATCTCACATAAAGAGATTTTAAAACTGCTTGCAATTGTTTCTCAATAATAAACAGTGGGTAGTTGCCCTATTCCCATCTTCTTTCGCACTTTCTCTTTTGTGTCAAATATCTTCCTGCTTTTCCAAATATATGCAAAAAGCCTGTTACAGGCAAGTCTAACTCATCAGTCCAGACTGCCCCTCCCTTTCTCCAAAAGTTACTTTCTCCAAAATCTTACTCTATTTACCCATCTTTACCAAGACATACAGTCTACAAAGAGTGATTGAGAGGCTTTATAGAAAACAATGCACTTTATTTATTTGTTTAAGAAATACAGTTATAGTTATTTTACACAGGCTTTAAACCATATATATTAAAGTGTTAAACTACATATGGTCAGACCACAGCCATTTGGATTATTTTATAAACGCTGAATTCTCAGATTATAAATTCTATCTAGCAACCAGGGCGGTATGATGAAAATTGTACAAGCACTAGCAGGGAATAAAAGAACAAACATTAGACTGACTACCAACATAATAAATGTGCTGTCACGGAAATACCATTTGGAGATAATTTTGCAAGAAGTTATCAGAAATTGAACAATGGCCATGAAAGGAAACCTGTGTAGGACTTTGTGCAAATGCACACCACTTCTTAGTGCATGTAACGGTAGTGGTAAGACATATGTTGGCACAGCACATTGACATCTAGCACCCAGTTACTCCATTCCAAAATACATACAGGAAGTTCTGTGGAATTTCTTCAGATATGCCCACCGTGTGCTTCTTCTTATTAAAGACTAGTTACAGCCAGAAGGTTAGGAGTAACCCATCAGTCTAATTCATGCCATTACGGAAGTTTTCTTTCTCATGTATTCATCATTTAATATTCTTATATCTATCTTTGACTTGCACTCTCCCTACCCGTATAACTAAGTAAAGGTATTGGTTCTCTTTACATCTGTATATTGGCTCTCCTTTTATCTGCATACCCAGTAAAGTATTTTCCAGCTTCTCATTATTTATAGTCTCTATTTTCTCTCATCTGTATACCCAATTAGAAATTTATCCATTATTGATATCTCCTAGTTGTATGCATGGCACTTTCATTGACATATAAGAAACTATTGTGGCTCACTACATTCTTTTCCTAATTCAATGTAAGGTCTGGATATGCAAAGCATAAAAAGGCAGGTTCTGAATTGGCCAACCAGCCTGACAAAATTAAAAACCAGGAAAAGTGCATCCTGCAACCAACTGGGCATATAATGGCCTAGATAGGAATATAGACAAAACACTTTGAGTAAAAGACATGTGTAACACACACACAAAAAAAGTGATCAATGCAAAAAAATTTTGTGCTTGGATTCCTAAAGAGTAGTTTCAAGGTAGTAGTTCAATTTTTACATGAAAGCTTGGTCCCAAATTTTTGTGCATCCAACTGGAAGTAGCACTGCCTGCTCACCTAAGCGCTACAACAGAGAAGTTGGTAGTCATTTTTTCATTAGGTAACTGCATCTTTACACATCGTATTTTGTGCTACCTTAGTGACATTTTCCAGCTTCTCTCATGTAAATTATTTATCTTTACAATAGACTGCACAGCTGTCTTATTCTGGCTTGCAATGATTGGGAACATGTGGGAGATATGCTTCAGACTTTTGAGTCAATGATGCTGGAAGCGGGAATTCATTTTAAAACACAATAATAATCGGGTCTCACTTTGATCTGATTGATATGAAATGCCTGCTGTGTAAATGCAGCTGCATTTTTGTGAATTTCATGTATAAAAGGAAGCCTTCTGTACCTGTAAATGCTCATTTCTAATTTTTCAATTCATGTAGTAAAAACTGTCTAGAAAGAGTGTACTTGGATGTTTACACCCAAGTTGTAAACAACAATGGAGTTGTTTATTTTTTCGGCATTCACCTTGTAAATCCTACACATAACAATTCATATTTTGACGGCAATTGCGAGGGATAACTAGAAAACTGAGTATAAACACCATCCAAAAAAGCAGTGTTAGGACATTTTATACAGAAGTGTGCCTAGTTGAAGCAGGGAGCATTATTCAGTGTGACGGGATCCAGTGTTTACTCACTTGCAGTTTCTAAATCTGCCTGGATCCAAGAATTTTCTGACAGTGTGATGTGTGGATCTAGCGAGCTCAGGTACGGCCCCGGCCCTCTGGTGCGGTCTCCTTCCCCGCGGAACCCCGCCGGCAGCCACACGTCCAGCAGCCGCTCTGGGACACCCTTGCCACCACCTCCTTCCGCACGCCCCGCCAAAGCGGGGGTCGGGACGCCCCCCGCGGCCGCAGCTGCCACGTCCTGGCTGCCGGGGAGACAGAAGGGCACTCGCTGCAGAACGAGCTCCTCTTCTACCGGCGCTTTTCAATTTGCAAGGTGGGGGCAGGAGGGCGCCCGCGGCGGAGCGAAGTTCAGCCGCCGCGAAGGCAGCGCGGCGGCGGGACGCCCCTCGCCTACGGTCTCCCCTTCCCGCCCCGCGCCCCGCTTCACACCTCGCCTCGTAAGAGGAGGCCACAGCCCCAACCCCTTCGGCATACCTGCCTCCGCGCATCACCTCCCGCGGCCCACGCCGGGAGGCCGGGGCGCCGGGCGGCTTCGTGGGCCGCCCCGCGGCGGCGGCGGGGCCTGAGGCGGGGCCGGGGTCGGGCAGCGGCCGCGGGGCTGCCCGTCCCTTGCCCTTGTCCTTGCCCCTGTCCCGGCGGCGCAGGGCGGCGGCAGCGCACCCTGCCGCCCGCCTGCCGGCCACAGCGCCGGCGCCCGCTAGGAAGTAGTTGTGAGTAGGGTTACCTGTCCTATATTGACGTATCCGTATTTGCTCGCTACCCTGTTGGCCTCCGGGAGCCCCCCGGTTATCCGCACAGCCCAGTGGTTGGTGTAGAGGCGCGTCCTGCAGGCGGGCAGCAGGAACCCTAGCACTAGGGCGAGCCGGCAGAGAAGGTCCCCGCCGCCTCCGCCTCCCCAGCAGCAGCGGCGCTTCCAGCCCATCTTCTCCTCCTCAGCACACAACCCCCACAAAACTTCTTCCTTCTTCCGAGACGCTTCTCCTCACCTCCGGGGGGCACCGGCGGCGCGTCCTCCGAAGTTACCCCGAGGAGGAAACTAGGAAGAGCTTGGAGTAGTGCATTGAACCGCCCGGGGGTTAAATGATGAGGGGTTGGGAATAGTGGTTCTGATCAGTGATTGCTGCTGTCTTCTCTTCCCGTCGCTCTCCGGGGTAACTTGCTCGGAAAGCTTCTCTCACAGTTCCTGAGCGCCAGCTTCTCCCTCTATCCCCAGCTATATGGGAAGTCGTCTCTCCGCGGGGAGGAGGGTTCCTTCTCCCTCTCTCCACGTTTCCCTCCGCTCTGACTTCCTTCCCCCTGCCAAGCGGTCTTCAACCTCCTCTCCCGCGTCTGGCTTTTCTTCGCCTGTACTCGCTCCCCAGGACCACTGGGACTCTGGCGGCAGGCGATGTGTGAGTGTTGGCAGCTGAGCGCCTCAGTGCACTCTAGCTCGGCCACCTCCCTCTCCCTTCTCCCCTCCCTCCTCCTTCTCCTCCGCCTCCTCTCCCCGCCCTCTCTCCCGCAGCGCCGAAGGGCAGGGGAAATGGCAGCCGCGTTGGGCCCACGTTGTGCTGGTCTCTGCGCTCCCGGGCCCCGGGCTATAGCTGGCCCCGGGCATCGCTGCCCCCGAGCGCTCTTCCCTCTTCCCCATCGGGCCGGGAGGCTGCCGCCCCGCTGGCGGAGCTGCGGCAGCCGCGGCGAGGTGCGAGGCCTGCAGCAAGGCCTCGTGCCCGGCACCGGCGGCGGCCTCCCGGCCCTGCCCTCGCGGAGTGCCCGGGGCGAGGAGGGGCCGGGGGGAACCCCAGCTGCCCCGATCGGCCAGGTCTGCCCTTCCGGCCCCGGGAGAGTGAGCCTGAGTAGCAGGCAGGACAGGAACAGCCTGTCTGCCGCCCGTCCGGCAGCCACGGGCTGTGTTGTGAGCCCGTCTGTTGGTCTCTCTTTACAGACACCGGACGTTGTCATTTAATGCCGAGCTTTTCCCCACAGCCCATCTGTCCTATGGTCACCCTGTGCAGAAAGAAAAGTGGGTGGCTGCCACTTTGGCAGAGGAGGGGTTGTCCAGACCCAGATGAGGAGGACGGCCTTCCCAGTGCTCCCCTGTTCCTGTCCCCGTGCAGCTGGCCAACAGCTCTGAAAGCTTGCTGGGAACCACTTCCAGCACCAGAGCGCCTGTGGGCCCAGAGAAGATGCAGCTGGTCAGCTGCAGCTGGCCCAGGCACCACCAGTACTGAAGGTATTCCTGCCTGGAGGAAGTGAGAGAAAATTCATGTCCGTCCAGTCAAGCCTGAACTGGACTAAATCGTAGAGCCACAACAGTATCTTCGAGCAACCTGTAGATCTACTTCCTTTTGTTTGAAAGTTAAAATAATTGTCTGTAAAATTCAGTCCAGAAATTCAGACCTGCTCTGAAGATCCATTGCAGGTTTTGAAGGAATTTGGACATGAGAAGTTCTATTGCAATTTAGTAATGTAAATGTTGTGGGATTTTTTTGTCTGAGGAATCTATGGTGTAGGCAAAGTTGACTGACTTTGTGGGCAAAAGTTAGGAAGCTGTCACTCTCTTTTTCACTGAAGAATGAGAAGTTAAATGCTTTACAGAAAGTCATACAGTAACATGGAGTTCCTTTTTTCTTTCACCAAGACCAGTGCACCTACCTTTAAAATTGATGTTTTCCTAATAAAATAGAAATAGTAAAATGCCGAGCCAAAGCCACATTTTCCAATTAAATGATTTTCTGCCTTAAGTTCATTCATTTTCGCCTTATGTACTGGTGTTATACTAGCGACTAATATCTTCCCACATACTTTGATTGTTTTTAAAGGGGAGAAAGGAGGAAAATTCATTCTCTACCTCCCTGTTTGCTTGATATCTTTGAAAATTGATTTACCAGTGATTTGCTCTTCCCTGTTAGTACTTTTCCCTGTAGTTTGTGCTACCATTTGCCTTTCTAGTTCTTTCTCAACCTGAAAATCCCTCTGGCTAATCAGCTCTGGCAGCCTCTGCGCTGTGGTTCATGTCAGCTTTCTAGGACTTTCCTATATTTCACAGATCCATGCTCCAGAGATGTGTTAGGCGCCCCAGGGTCATAATTAAGGAGGAAACCACAGAGGGCATGCGTATAAATTCAAAGAAAGTGACAGCTCAGGTTCCTCCAGGAAAAAGTCCTGCAAGCAGATGTGCTAGCCCCTGAAGACCTTCTGGAACAGAGAATGTTTTAAGAATGGACTGGGGATACATATCATCATTTGGAGTGGGAGAGTCTGGGCCATAACAGATGAAAGTAGGGAGATCTTCAGAGAGTGGAGGTTGTGTCAGGGAGTCATTTAAAGATTGCCTTAGATGGATAGTTTGGAATCCAAGGGAGTATTTGGATTTCCTTAGTTTCAAGAATAACTGTTTTTACTGTTTTTTATAAACAGTGCAGCTAGGTCACTTGACAGCAGCCACTATACGGTCTAATTTGCTGGTACACAGTTCTTTGATCTGCAGTTTTCCATGCTTCAGGCTTGCCTCTGATTTTATGTATTTTAACTTCAAATGCTTTTAAAAAGAATAAAGTTTTGGGGTTTTTTGCTTATTTGGTTTTTTTTTGGTAAAACACTGTTTTTACATATGATCAACTTTATTAGTAGGTTTTTTCTTTAGGAAACACCTGTCTCCTTATCCTTTGAAGCAGGATCCCTGTTTTGAGTACCTCACTGTTCTCATAAAAAGCCACTATGTATGTCCAAATTTTGAGTGAGAGTTTTCACCTGTACGTTAGACACCTTTCTTTTCGCATTCATCAGCCAATACTTTGAGATTGCTCACCCTCACTGGCTCACTGTTCCTAGTGTGTAGACTATAGGGTCTACATACCTAACCCTGTATGCAGTCCACAGCAAAGCATGACTTCTTATTGCTGTTCCCACTTCTTGTTGGTCACTGTGGGAGTGAACATGATAATTGACAGCAGTTTTTAATGATTTTTCTGGGAATGCAGAGGAGAAAAACCTTCTGTCCTGAATGTAGAGGGTGAAAAGGACAGGTGAAAGTACTCAATTGAGATGGAGAATCTGGGGCAGGAGAAAGGAAGAGAAAGAAATTGGGATAGAGGTTTGGTAGAGCAGTCCTCTGTCAAGGTGTGTTCCAACCCAAGCCTCGTTTTCCCTTGGGCAATTTATTGCAATTTATTGTCAGAAACTCAGATATGTTGAAGGAAATAAAGGGCAGGATCCTTTATTTCTCGTCTGTTGGTAGTAAAGAATGAGAATTTGAGTCTGGACCTAGGAATAGATGTGAGTCTGGGCTTTTTGTGATCACTGAAATTGGACTGATGCTGCCTTATTCATATGCTATGTGGATTTTATTTTGATTTTATGAATAAGGCTGCACTGTCCATTTTTCTGTTCTATTTCTCCTGTCGACAGAATGTAACTCTTACCTTTCCATCTTTGATTGTGTTTATTATCTTTTTTTGAAGCAGTGGCTCCCACCTCTTTATAGTTATGACCATACTGGCAGGCATAATTTGAAAAGATGCTAGTGTTTGTTGCAAAGCCATCAGACTCCTTCTGCTTGTACTGATGCCTGTGCCAGCATGCTTGTTTGCCATCTTTCCATTTTGCAAATGTGTCTCTTTGGGCTGAAATCCAAACTGTCATTAAAGTAATTGTAATTTGCATATCTCTTTTTCTTATTTATTTGTTTTATTTTTTATTTCAGAGATCTAGTTGACAATGCAAATAGCTGTACTAACTGTAGTGATAACATACTGTGCACAGCTAGGATGAATGGCTAAGGCATGGAGAGAAAATAAGGAAGGTCGAAGCAGGGAATCTTTTCGATTGACGTTAGTGCCTGACACAGTGTGCTATAACACTGAAGCTTGAGTTCTGTTCAGAACAACAACTGCACATTTTCCATCTCCAACTTCTCATCGGATTGTAAAGTTTCAGTCATAGAATCTCAAATATATGGAAAAACTAAGTTTAAAACCAACATTTATCGTGTTTGGCTATGAATTTTAACTATGGAAATTATCATAGGCCCCTTCGAAGTGATGGTAGAAAGATCTTTTTTTCTGAAATAACTTATCTGAGTGAATACATCCATGTGAAAGAAGTTAAGGTATTATTCACCCAAGTTCACTGGAGTTAACATTCCAGTTAACTTGTTTCTAAATTGTCCCTTGAGCCAGAATTATTGTAGCTACCCTTTTCTATACAGCTGACTCAGCTCTACTCTAAGTATCTATAGGATTTTCCTTTCCTGTTATAGTGTTAGAGAAGCCATCAAATGCTACTATGCTTTTCTCACACCAATATGTTGTTGATGGCATGTGGCTAAAAAGAGTGACCCAGTGGCAAGTGAGAATCCAATGCAATTTCAAAAACGTCATTAAAAAATAGTAGCTAAATGTCCTTACCCAAAGAGAAAAAGTATAATCTCACATCTTCCAGCATGGCCCACCCTCATTTCATGAGCTTTAGTTGGACTGGTTCCATTTGTACCCCAAACCCTCTCAGAGACTACTGCAGACCCTTCACTAGTATTCAGCTTCTTTAGAAGTGCAATTGTTTTCTGAGTTCTGGTTCCCTTATCTTTGTTCAGGTGCTCTATTGTCACAATATGCACATGAAGTAAGTAACTTCATGATGATGGAGTGATCATACTTAATCTTCTATCTTCTCTACCCTGTTGTTGTGAGAGGAAGCAGAAGTCATGTCTTTAATCTGTAAGAAAACCTGAGCACCTTTTCCACAGATAATGAATAGAAGTAGTCGTTTAAGAGCATCCCTTTAGCTTGGGGCTCTCCATTCCTTCCAGTACAATTCCTTTGAATTATATGCCTGCATTCTTTTGCATGGAACTGGTTCAGTGTAATTTATTGGATCTTGAATTGAAAAAGATCTTATTTACTACTTAGCCGATGTCTAACAGAAGATATGACCTGGAAGTGGTGAGTTTATTAATGGGGAAGGAGACTGGAAGAACACCAGCCTATAGTTTAGGAAGTATGGCAGGTTTTTTAATTCTGTATTTCAGACAAGGAAGAGTTTGAGAAGGGGTATTTTAGGACCTACAGCCTCTATGTGTTTGTGTTTGAATAATAAATAATTCTGTTATAATTCTGTCATAATTCTGTCATAATTCTCTCTTTAGAGAGTTCAAGAGCATAGCTGTGGCACATCCTTTTCTCCTAAGATACCATTCACCAGATAACTTGCTCCCGAGTAGTGAAGAAGTCAAACAGTTTACCAAACAGAAGAGTAGGTGGAACTGTATGTGCTCTTCCCTGCTGTAGTATAGTTGAACCAATGCCAAGACTGCAAAAATGGAAGTTCCCATTAATTGTTTATTAGTTTTAAACAAAAATAGAAAGAGATTCAGCTATGTTTGATACATCCTGGCAGATTTTAAGTCTAAAAGGAGATGAAGGGCAGAAACATAGACATCAGTAAGAACGGCCCAGCTACAGACACTGTGAGTGTAAAGTTTCTTTCCAAAGGGATGATGCTGATCCCATAACTCAGAAACTCGCTCTACTGTGCCAATTTGCTAAGGAGGCAATTCTGGTGCTTCTTTTACAATGGATAGAGAAAATGTACATCTTTGCAGATGCCTCTGCACTCTGCCTGCGAAAGAGCGGAGCTGTACTGACAGTTTCTGTCAGAGCCTCTTTAGTGTTCTTTGATTTCATGCAAAGGACAAAACAATCCCTTGATGAAAGCTCTTTCCTTTCCCAATTTTTCTTCTTCATATCATCCTTGTGGATTCCTTCCAACTCAAAATATTCTGTGATATCTTTTTCTTCTTCCCCCCCACCCCCCCATTTCTGTAGTTTATCTCCCTTTCCTATTCTGCTCATCTTTCTGCTGGTGGGATGATTTTTCTCTTTACTCTTTGTCCATCTTATCATTTCTGCTCTTCATTTCCAAGACATCTGTTCTGTACATCCGGCTCTTGGAATGTTATTCTCTGTGCTCTCCTCTGTTTACTATGAAAAACAAGGGCCATTGTAGCTGAAAGTTTTCGTGAATGGGAATGACCATGATGGCATGTAATACAGAATTGCTGAGAAATCCTCCCTAAAGTATAATCTTTTCATGATAGAGAATAACCTGGTGCTCTGTAACTGGTAGTCCATGTTCAAAGTGCATAGTCCTACAGTAAAGGTAACTGTGAATCAGAAGTTACAGCACTGGTTAATCTTCAGCACAGTGATATTTATGTGTAAACCAGCACTGGAAGAATCAACCTGTGAGGGAGAAGAGGGATTTGGATGTGTGCACTCATAAACACTATACTCTTTCTTCACTTCTTGTCAGCCTTAGTTCCTTTTTGTCTCTTCTGTGTTGATTCCTCAGTTGGGTAATTCAGAGCCAAATATTTGTATTTTTAAATTCTTGATGCAGCAGCTGAGCAACTGAAGAGCGAACAGAGCAAATGAGAACAATATACTTGTTAAAAGTCTGACACTTTTCTGTGGCCCTTTGCATTTACACTGCTTTTCTTCATGCTGAAAAATGCGTTTATTCCATTAAACAAATATGAGACAGAGGACCTCTTTAATGTACAGAATGGTAGTTCTGGTAGTTAGCAGTTCCCAAAAACACTGCCAAAATCTTAATTAAAAAGAAAAAAAGCATCTCTGGAGAGCCACCCTGAATGTGATGTTGTTTCCATGTTGCAAAGTGGACCTATTTTTGACAGTTCTTTAGGTCATAGCCTAAACTTGAACGTTCACAATATAAGGAGCGTATGTACAGTTTATAGCTTATCACCACCACCAATATACCAGCTCATTAAGTTCTGAACCTTTCATGAGCATCTCACAAATGCAACAAAATCATGCTTACAGATACGCACACTGTATGACTGTGACATTAAAATGCTAATTTTGAAGCGCTATGCAGCAAATTAACCTTATAATCATCAATTTATTTTCTAAGAATATGGTTTGGACAAGGTCTGTGGGATCCTGAGAGACAGCACCTTAAAATGTTCAATCCATGCTAGCTCTCCCTGAGGGGCAAAAGAAACTGGGCCTTTTGAAGACCTCCTTCTGATCAAGAGATACTTGTACCATCAGAGAGTGAAGTAATACCTTCTGATTTATATGATCAGTTAAAACTTGCCAGCATGGATGGATTTTGGTATACCCTGTGTCACTTACTTCACTTTTTACTTCATCTATCCATCCACCCATGAAGTAAACAAAATCAGAAAAAAATATAATCTTTCCCAGCACTAAAATAATGAATAAGAAATGACGATTTCTAGTGGACATTTAGTAAAAAGTAGAATGAACTAAATCCTCAGTCTTGTTACTTCCAGTGTGGCAGACGAATCCAGCAACATCAATAGACAGTGTCCTGTGCTCACTTGGTCAGTTTTATGTTCTGAGTTGCTTGGTCAGCTCTAGTTCTGGGACAGTTTTCTGGTTAACTATATATCTCACTCTGTTGTCATTAGAAGAAATAATCTAGTTTTACATGAGTATATAGTGAACAGTATCTAGCTCACTGAATCAGAGTGATGTGTTTCCAGCATACTTGTGGGAGGACACTAATTCAGGTCACATAACTACCACACTGACTGACTATCTCTGGAGTGCGTCCAAATGTATTCATTCCTGATTCAGGTTCTTCAGATGCGCAGACACATTTTGTTAACACTACTGTAAGACGGTCTCAGGATGACAAAGATGGTGAAACTATTTCTGAATAATATTGTAACTGTTACTTCAGCTACAGGAAATGATGCTTGAATACTGCTGAAGAGAGAGAAGAAGAATTCCTCCTCCAACAGAACATGCTTTGTTTGGCTCCAGTAATACCACAGGTGAGGATGAAATGGAAAACATAAACAAAGAAAACAATATAACACAACTGCCAAGCTTTTCATCTCTAGTATCACAGAGATGCTGTCTGGATGAGAAGTTAACACATGGAAGCCAGCTGTAGCAACTAAATGTCTCAAGGAAACTTCTTTCTAGATAATGAAATCCATTCACAGGGACTATCACAGAAAGTTGGAGTGACCTGATAAAACTCAGAAGAAATTACCAATTTTATTCTTGGAAAGGCAAGAAAGTGAAACTCAAAGCCTGACTGACTCTAAAAATGATGAAAATGTGACTGTTATTTCAAAAGTTTTATCTCCAGATGTTCAAAGAAGTTTTTTTAAAGATAACATGTTGCATAATATATTGGAAAACCACCTCTAAATGTACATGAAACAAACTAAGCCAAAATCAGAAAAGTTACATTCGGAAATGTAGCTGGACATTCTGGGAAAAACTGCTGAAATCATCTGAGCAGAATTCTGGCTTTATGATGAAATTATTATTAGGAAAACTAGGCTGCTATGCTGCCCCTGGAGCAACCAGGGAAAGCAATTTGAGGAAATGGTGACTAAGAGATATACTCAATTTATACCAAGCGCACCATATAGTACCTCAGTGCAACAGCACAGCTAAATCCCAGACATTTGATGTGTGCTACTGTATTGCTCCTTGCCTCTTTCCTCCTGTGTGCATTAGGAGAAGACCATGAAAATGACAAGGGGTGACTTGAGGTCATCTCATAACCCTGTGAGCCATCTCTCATGCCTATCATGCTTGCCTGTGTGAAACTGTATGTTGCAAACATAACTAAGATTTTCCTTCTCCTGCAGACCCTCTACTTGCTATGACACACTGGAAGCTCCAGGCAACATTATTCATTTTGTTTGTCTGGATATACAGAAGCTGCAAGTAGATGAAGAGCTTCTTGTGGGTTAGGCATGTCAAGTTAAAAGCTTACACTGCCCTTTTCAAACATGTTCGGAAAACTGATGTCCTTCATTGACTGTCAAAGTATCATAAATACTCAAATAATTTGAGGCCTAATTAAAGGCAATATCATTGTTCCATGCATTTCACATGGGCTTTGCTATAGATCAAGTAACCTCAAGATTTAAACGCAAACTTTTAGGAAGTCCTTACTAACATAAGTCTCATTAGTGTCAAACTGCTTGATCAGGGATCTGATTAATAGCCATTTGACATTAATGAGAGACATTGTATTAAAGGCTGTTAAAATCAGTCTCATATACAGATGCAGGCCAAGTTAAGAAAGTCTGTATATGTGTGTGAAATGTATTTATTTACCTGTGAATCCAGTCCTATTTGTGCAGTTGTTTGGCATAGCTTACAGAATAGGAAGATATGGAGACATACAGAAGATAGCTTACAGCTCACCTATAAACTCCATCAATTTTACTGCAAACCTCCTTATTTTTTTCATCCTGCATTATCTTATACTAGTTGCAAATTCTTTCAAAAGACAGATATAGGTCCCCAAGTTGTTAAGATGTAAAATTGTCTATATTATGCATTTCTTACTACAGTCTCAAAAGAAGAATGACCTGTGAAATTTGAACCTCCTTGGATCTGTTTCTTCCAGTAAGACAATACAAAAGGGATGTACTGTGCTGGAGGTTCTTACAATGTGAGTACAGCAGCTCACTGTCAGACCTTTATAATTAGAATATTTATTTCACATTTGGATGTGGATATATCCCTTGTCTGTGAGCTATTCAGGGAGGGGAACAGAGGGGATAAAAGGCTGAATAACATACGCACACATGTAAGATATATTTTTGCAGTCCCAGAACTAACAAATAATAAAACCAATTCTGTTTAACCTCGTAAATATCTTCACCTGACGTCTACAGGCAAAATTCCACATATCTAAAAAGCAAATTTTCAAGGTTTTGCTCTTACTATATTGAAATGTTATCTAAAATATTTTGCAAACTTATGTCTACCATTTGCTGCTAATTGAGTTCTCACATGCAGCCAAGTGGTTCACATGGAAGGTACAATATCTGTGCCATCAGGTTTCCTTTAAGAATATGTTCAGGTATTTTTAAAATTTTGGATACAATTATAAAATGCAACTGATATGCCAACAGTTCATTATCTTCTTACTGCATGATCTTTTTTAGGGTCGGTCAATTGCCTGGCTCCATTTTATTTGTAAGGTTAAAAGATGTCTCAGAGTAACTTACTTAGGAGATGTCTCAGACTAACTTACCTGTTTGTAAAGTATGTGTATGATTTTGAAGCCAGGACATGATACTTTTGTTTGCCTCACAGGTAATTAGATATATTTTCTTAATAGCTATTTTGAAAAAACAGGACTAGAAGACATTGTTGACAAGGCAATAAATAATCATGTTACAGATGACATTCAGTCTCCTAATTTTCCTTTTAGTTAAGTATTTGAGGACAATACTCAGGCTTTTAAATTGGTTTTGTGGTTTGGTTTTGTTGGTTTGATTTTGGTTTGGGTTTGCTTTTGTTTGTTTGTTGGTTGGTTGGTTGGTTGGTTTTTTTGTGGGTTTTTTTGATTTTTTTTGAGGGGGGAGGTTGTTGGTTTGGTTTGGTTTGGTTTGGTTTGGGTTTGTTGTTGTTGTTGTTTTTGAGGAAGGAGGCCTCTAGAACCAGAACTATGCTTGTAACTATACCTTGTAGGACAGTGGGTTTTTTAATTTGTTAACACTGCTCTTCAAAGATCTGGATCTCACATGTATAGAACTATCTAGTGTGACTGGGGATATATTTTTTGAAAGGTGCTCTATAAGCTCATATTGTGCTGTATGTCTTAATTACTGACTTGCTTTTTTTTTCTCTTAATGAGACAGGGGCTAAATAAACAGGTGCCTGAGACATCCAGGCTGCTTTACAATGCAGGCTACTTTATATTTGCTAATTTTTTTTTTGTGTTGCTTCCCTTCTATTCATAGTTTGGTTTAGTTAGCCACTCTAAACCACTTCACAGAGAACAGGGGTTTATCACTGTTTGCAGAGTGTGCCATCCCCTTCCTGTCTGGGAAGCAGAAAGAGAGCATGGGGTGCTGTTGTGATGATGACCTTTGGCAAGCTGAGATGCAAGGCACCCCGTAGGAATTTCCTCCAGCTCAAAGGTATTTAACAAATTATCCAGTTCCATGGTGGGACCTAGTCAGTAGGTGGTCTACTTGAGTGTCTGTCTGTCTTTCCTTATCCTCCTCTTTAGCTTAGAGAAGCTGCAGTAAGAGGGGAAAAAAAAAGGAAAAAGAAAAACAAAACAAAAACCAGCTATTAAACTGAAAAGACGTGATCTGCATAATTGTTCTAATTGCAGCTAGTTCTGTGATGAATAGAACTGATGTCAAGTTCAACAACGACTTAGGAGAAAAAATATCTCAAAGTCCTTTACTATAACATGAAAGACGAAACTCTTATGATCATTGCCGTTCAGTTTAAAGAGCCAGTGACTAATTAAGGGGGAGGGGAAACAGTCCCATTGTTTAATTACTGAAGAAAGGATTAAATTGGCAGGTATAAATAAACAAAATTAAACTATGCACCTCTCTGGCCTTTCAGACTTGCACAAATTGGTATGAGAGTCATGCAGGAGAGGTAATTGTCAGTAGGGATTTTTAACATAATTGTAGCAAACATTGCATCAAACATAGGCTACTCCAAAACTTCTGCTATCTCAGGATTCCCAAAGAAACAAAGAAGGAAACTCACATGACTATTGTCAGAAGCACAGTGTCATCTACAGACCTGAAGGCACTGTTTAGAGAAAGGAAAGCTACCCAGCCCTGACTGCGGCACTTACTGTGGCCTTGCACAGGACACTCCATGTCTTTATCCTGATTTCCTTATCTTTAAAATGGGATAATAAAACATACTTACCTGTTCAATTCTTGTGTTGTGAAATTTTGTGTCTGGATAATGCGCTTGCTGTAGAGGAGCAAAAGATTTATATGCCTGGTTTAAAATCTGTTATTGAGACATGAACAGTGATAAAACTGTTCATATTTAGGAGGCCCATTTTTACAGGGCGGAAACGTAACAAGGCTATCCAAATCTGGTGTCTAGTAATAAAGGAGTGGCACCTGAGAGAAATGTTTATTATCTGCTGAAGCGTGGCTGTGGAGTATGGCCTGGCCCCTGAACATATCCTGTTTTGAAAAATGATTAATGTTTTATTTATACTTAGAATTAGCAGACAAATAATTATATTTTCTTTTATTTTCTCTGAAAAATTATGTGCTTTAATCTTTGTAGTGGGTTGACCCTGGCCAGCAATTAAGCACTCACTAGCTGCTTATTCACTCAGGATGGGGGAGTAGATTGGAAGAGAAAATGTGAGAAAAACCTCATGGGTCAAGATAGAGACAGTTTAATAAGTGAAGGGGGGAAAAGCAGAAAAAGAAAAAAGCAAAACGCAAATGATTAAAAGACCACAAGTCTCCACCTCCCAAAAACAAGCTGATGGCCAACCAATCTCTGAGCAATGACTACTTTGGAAAAATTATCACCAAGTTTTTATTGCTAAGCATGATGTTAGATGGTCAGTTAGGGTCAGCTGTCCCAGCTGTGTCCCCTCCCTGACTCTTAGAATCATAGAATCATAGAATCAGCTGGGTTGGAAGGGACCTCCGAGATCATCAAGTCCAACCCTTGATCCACTACAACTGCAGTTACTAGACCATGGCACTAAGTGCCACATCCAGTCTCTTTATAAAAATCTCCAGGGACGGAGAATCCACCGCTTCCCTGGGCAGCCCATTCCAATGTCTGATCACTCTCTCTCTAAAGAAATTCTTTCTAATATCTAACCCAAACCTCCCCTGGCACAACTTCAGACCATGCCCTCTTGTCTTGCTGATAGTTGCCTCAGAAAAGAGACCAAGCCCCACCTGGCTACAACCTCCTTTCAGGGAGTTGTAGAGAGTGATGAGGTCTCCCCTGAGCTTCCTCTTCTCCAGGTTGAACAGCCCCAGCTCCCTCAGCCTCTCCTCATAGGACTTGTGCTCGAGTCCCTTCACCAGCCTCATTGCTCTTCTCTGGACCTGCTCCAGCACCTCAATATCCTTCCTGAACTGAGGGGCCCAGAAATGGACACAGTACTCCTGGTGTGGCCTCACCAGCACTGAGTACAGGGGCAGAATCCCTTCCCTGGTCCTGCTGGCCACACTGCTCCTGATCCAGGCCAGGATGCCATTGGCCTTCTTGGCCACCTGGGCACACTGCTGGCTCATGTTCAGCTTCCCGTCAATCCAAACTCCCAGGTCCCTCTCTGTCTGGCTGCTCTCCAGCCACTCTGTGCCCAGCCTGTAGCGCTGCAGGGGGTTGTTGTGGCCAAAGGCAAGAACCCGGCACTTGGCCTTGTTGAGCCTCATCCCGTTGAATCAGCCCAACTCTCCAACCTATCCAGGTCCCTCTGCAGAGCCCTCCTGCCTTCCAGCTGATCGACACTCCCCCCCAGATTAGTGTCATCTGCAAATTTGCTGATGATGGACTCAATCCCCTCATCTAAATCATCAGTAAAGATATTAAACAGAACTGGGCCCAACACTGATCCCTGGGGGAAACCACTAGTGACCGGCCACCAACTGGATGCAGCCCCGTTCACCACCACTCTCTGGGCCCGGCCCTCCAGCCAGTTCCTAACCCAGCACAGAGTGCCCCTGTCCAAGCCGTGGGCTGCCAGCTTTTCCAGGAGTATGCTGTGGGTGACGGTGTCAGAGGCTTTGCTGAAGTCCAGACAGACCACATCCACAGCCTTCCCCTCATTCACCAGGTGGGTCACCTGATCATAAAAGGAGATCAGGTTGGTCAGATAGGACCTGCCCTTCCTAAACCTGTGCTGGCTGGGTCTGATCCCTTGTCCATCCTGTAGATGCTGTGTGATTGCACTGAGGATGATCTGCTCCATAACCTTGCCAGGCACTGAGGTCAGGCTGATGGGCCTGTAGTTTCCCAGGTCCTCCTTCCGGCCCTTTTTGTGGATTGGCGTGACATTTGCCAACTTCCAATCATGTGGGACCTCCCCAGTGAGCCAGGACTGTTGGTAAATGATGGAGAGAGGCTTGGTGAGCTCTTCTGCCAGCTCCCTCATCACCCTTGGGTGGATCCCATCTGGTCCCATAGACTTGTGGGGATCCAAGCAGCTCAGTAGGTCACTAACTGGATTACAGGGGGCTGTTCAGATGCTTATCTCTTTCTACAAGCTCCAGAAGCCAGCTGTCCTCAGGACAACCTGTTGTACTGTTGAAAACTGAGACAAAGAAGGTGTTAAATACCTCAACCTTTTCCTCATCTTTGATAACTGTATTCCTGCCCATGTCCAGTAAAGAGTGGAGGTTTTCCTTGCCCCTCCTTTTGCTATTGATGTATCTGTAGAAAGACTTTTTGTTATCCTTCACAGAGGTGGCGAGATTCATTTCAAGTTGTGCCTTTGTCCCTCTAATTTTCTTTCTACATGACCTAACTATATTCCTAAATTCTTCCTGAGTCATCAGCCCTTTTTTCCATAATCGGTAAGCTCTCTTCTTTACCCTAATTTCTTTCAAAATCTCTCTGTTCAGCCAGGCTGGTCATCTTCCCCGCCACCTCGCCTTTTGGCACAGTGGGACAGCCTGCTCCTGTGCTTTCAAAACTTGCTTCTTGAAGTATGTCCATCCTTCCTGGACCCTTTTGTTTTCAAGGGCTGTTTCCCAGGGTACACTCTGAACTAGTCTTCTGAATAGGCCAAAATCTGCCCTCCGGAAGTCCAACGTAGAGGTTTTATTGATGGCCCTCCTTGCATCCCCGAGTATTGAAAACTCTGTTATTTCATGATCCCTGTGTCCCAGACGTCCACCGACCACCACATCTCCCACCAGCGCCTCTCTGTTTGTGAACAGGAGGTCTAGCGGGGCTCCATCCCTGGTAGGCTCATTTACCAGCTGGAGCAGGAAATTATCCTCTATACACTCTAGGAATCTCCTAGACTGTCTCTTCTCCTCTGTGTGGAGTTCCTTGGCCTCCTCGCCCATAGCAAGCAGAGTGAGAAACAGAGAAAGCCTCAAAGCTGTGCAAGCACTGCTCAGTAATAGCTAAAACATGGGTGAGTTGTCAGCAGTGTTTTTGTCACAAAACCATGCTGGCTGCTGTGAAGAAATTTAATTCCATCCCAAACAGACCTGGTACACTCCTGAATAATCTAAAGGGGTTTTTTCATGACATTTGGATTCATTCCAAAGTGAGTCATCTTCTCATTCTCTATGTGTACATAGGACTAAGATGCCTCCAAGCCTAGTTTCAGGCACCTCAAACTTTGACATACAAGTTAGATTCATACCAGAGGTTATTTATACTCAGCCTGAATCAAATCCTTAGATTAGACAGACTCCAAGTTAGGAAATTTAAGATCTGTGTGTGAGATTTATGCCATAGGACTATCATTCATATTGAAGACGGATAAAATAAAGAAAAACGAGGTGAAATAAAGTGGTACCCACATTGCATTGGGAGCCACTCTCTTTAAAAGATTGAAAACACTCAACTAATTATTTTCGATCTCTCTTTTTGCGCATTTTCATACTTTGTTGTTCTTTCCATGGCAGGAAGCTAAAAAGACTGTTCTGGTGAAATATCTGGCCTGCCTGGAGGTGGGAATTAGTGTGAAGGGCATAAGAAAACCTGAATTGATTACATTTCCAGTCCAGTTTTGCTGACTATATATTAGAATGCAATCATACTCAAAATGTCAGCTCAGTTTGCTTTGTTCCATGCCTGTTATCACATTCCTTTTCACATCCTTTACCTCCTGCTCCCTGTATGTCTATGGGGTAAATCTTGGTGCCTGTGTAGTACCATTTCACATAAACAGTATACTTTGAGTGTCTTTTATTCATGATCAAGTGAGCATGGGTGGCTTTTGATAGTGAATACTTATATAGATAAGTATTCACTATCAAATACTTACAATACTTACGTTATTGTAAGACTATATGTCTAACATATAGTCTATAGCTATTGTTTTAGATGTTGTTTTCCTCTGTAATATTTTATACTGTGTGATATGAATTAACCTTCCCTCCCCACCATTGTACTAAAACATGCCCTTATGGTAGCCTGACCTGTGAGACAGAAAGCTTTATACTGGTGTTTACCACTGTCTCCTTACTTATGACATCCTTCCTCCGTTCTCCAGAATAAATCACAGAATGAACAGCTGTAGAAGACAGGCAGAGAGACCAGCTTCAGGAATGAGGTTGCAGCTATTTCATGCCTTTGCAGCCTCCCTAAACCACAGGCTTTAGAGGCTGAGGCAGGGTAAAGCTCAATCCTATTCCACCTTTCAGTTCCTGCTGATGACATTTGCAATCCTTCTGTTTTACTGGATGTGGCTGGATGTGGCTGCTTTACTGGATGTGGCTGCTTCTGTCTGACCCTTTCTGTCTGACCCTTTCCTCCATCTTCATTTGGCACTTTGAGTTGAATTTGGGCACCATCTAAAACATATGTTAGCAAAAACCGCTGCCTCTGGGGAAAACTGAAACTTGAATGTACCACACACACACACAAAAAAAAAAAAAAGCTGGGAAAAGAGCTGAGTGGAAGGAATGAATTTTAGAAACCCCTCACACCTTAATTTCTTCAGGAAGAATAGAATATCGAGAAGGCTTAATTCTATCTGAAGAATGACACACTCCACAGAAAGTTGAAAAAAACATATGGATGGCATAGAGCGTCAGACAGGAAATAACAGAATAGTTCACAATTTCTCCTTGTAAGCCAGATTCAAAGAGAATTGATTTTGAAATTTTAGATTCTGAGTCCCCTGATGAAACTGGATTTCAAACACTGCAGAGTGCT